CTAAACCCTAAACTGTAACCCCTAAACCCTAAACGCTAAACCCTAAACCAACCCTAAACCCAACCCTAAGACAGAAAAACTGGAAGAAAGCTCGGGGAACACAAGCGGCCTGCAGCGCTAGGTTGCGAAGCTCCGGCATGCCGTCCTGGTGAAAAAAACCGGAGTGACAAGGGTTCGCAGTCCAGGGCCAGGGGTTCGGGATCGGAGTTCGGGGTTTAGGGTTTAGGGTTGAGGGTTTAGGGTTTAGGGTTGAGGGTTTAGGGTTTAGGGTTTTGGGTTTTGGGTGTAGGGCTTAGGGTTTAGTTTAGGGTTTGGGGTTGAGGGGTTTGGGGGTTCAGAGTGTGGGGTTTGGGGTGGAGGGGCTCGGGTTTGGCGTTCAGGGAATGCTGCTGCGCTATCTCCGAACCCCTTGTCCAGTCAACCTTCTCGGAATCCTCCTTGATGTGAACCAAGTTGATGCAGTCTTGATTCTCCTGGTATCCCCTGTCCATGTTCCAACTTCTTGTAGCTCGTAGAATCTGGATACCTTTTCACAGCCATTGCAAACCTTACACAATCCCATAAGATCCCATAAGCACCCAGGAAACCAGAACGAAGATGTGCTGCATTCTCATGTGACAGGAAGGCTCTGCATTCTTCAACCCTGAGACGCAAAAAGCTCAAACCTGTAGGGGCGGCTGCTACCTGAAGCATGAGAGCCCAGAATGCCGAAGTGAGAATAGATCGTACAGTATACAGAGCTTCAATGGTACTCTAAAAGTGTGATTTAGGATATCTTCTGAATTACGGGAAGATCCCCTGTGCGTCCGTGTGGATCTTCAGGAGGAGGTCGTAGTGGAGTCCCTTGTTCCTCCAATGGCCATAGGGTTTAGGTTTGGCTCAGGAGTTCAAGCAGGAAGTGTGGCAAATTGTTTCTTCAGGCTGATGTAAGAATTCTTCCATCAGTTCCAAAGCTGAATTCCGCATCCTCTTTGTAATTCGTGGCAGCGTACAGGGGAGCACACGTAAGAGCCAACCTTCCATGGTGTTCATGGGCATTGGCATTGGTACCCCGAGTAAACGCAAGCGAAAACAATAAAGACGACTTGAAGGAATGACTACGTAGTAAGAGTAATTACGGCTGATAATAGCACGCAGCCCTCGTAAGAGCACTGACTACCAGTTCCACAAGATCACCCCCGGGGCTTGTGCCCCATGAGACATCTTCCGAGCTGTGGTAGCCATAATGCGCATCAACTGGTTCAATACTCTTGTGATGCTGCACCCACAACTTAACCCCGTATCCTCAACGTAACCGGCACACACATCCCTAGTCCCTAAACCCTAAACCCTAATCCCCTAAACCCTAAACCCCAAACCCCTAAACCCGAAGCCCGACCTTCCCCGAGCCCCAGAAGGACAGCCGCGCAGGTGCGGCCAAGAGACTGCGCATAGTACAACTGCGATGCGAAGTGTCCCATGTCCATGCCTTTCGATGCCGACTTGGTCCTTGTGTGGGATTTAGGGTTTAGGGTTTAGGGTTTTAGGGTTTAGGGTTTTAGGGTTTAGGGTTTAGGGTTTAAGGGTTTAGGGTTTAGCGGGGATTTGTTGGGGGAGGGTTTCTTTAAGGGCTTCGCAGTTGGGAGGGTCAAGGTCTTGGGGCTAAGGTCCTCAACGTAAAAGATTCTGCGTCATGTCGGCTTCTGAGAACGAGGGGCTCCCAACATCGACCTCCCTAAGCCCCTGAACCCTAAACC